TTGAGACCTGTTGTGATGGGTTTGTCACCACGGGTAGTTTGGATGAAAATGAGAAGTCAGGCGTGTGGTCGGAGCACCTCACAGATCTGAACATTGGCAACCACCATATAGGAGATAACCAGGTCACATGACTTATAGGGTCATTTGTTTCAGGCAAGCCAAAGAAAAGGTACCCCAAATTTTGAAAAAACTTGAAGCAGCTGTGCATTGGCACAGACCTGTAGTCTCCAGTACTAGGGACCCACAGGCATTCATTCAAATGCCAGCCTGCCTGTAAGATACCCCTCTAAGTTTCAGGAACTTCAAGTTCTTCCTAGCCTAACCTGTGTTTTAACCGGGAGTTTTAATGAGGTGGTTGACGTTTGGCCGTGTGAGGTGAGGCATGCATGGCACTGCCCCTCACGTTCTCTGGAGATCAAGGGTGATCTGGATCTGAGAAATACAGCAGTCTCCTGTGGGTACAGGGAATGGTGGCGGGATTGAGAGATGGAAGGAAGCCTGTTCTCGTGGGCCTCAGAAAAGTTGGAAGTGTAGATCTCCATGACCTCTCTGCTTTGCCTGTGCTCGCACGTGTGTAGGGGTGTGGCAGGATGCCTGAATTGCTTGTGGTGGGTTAGGAACTACTTCAGCCCCGCTTCACAGCAGTGGGACGGGTGTGCTGACAGGGCATGGCCCTGACCGGATTTGGCAGCACAGTTTGCACTGCTGAGAATCTGGGTGTCAATACTGACACCACATAAAGCCCAAACCCCAGGGGCTGGAGAGATGGCTCTGGTTAAGAGCATTGTTTGCTCTTCCAAAGGTCCTGAGTTCAATTCCCAGCAACCATATGGTGGCTCACAACCATCTGTAATGAGGTCTGGTGCCATCTTCTGGCCTGCAGACATACACACAGAATACTGTATACATAATAAATAAATATATAAAAAAAAGTCCAAACCCCAGAGCTTATAGGCGCTCATGGTCACAGGAAGCACAAGATTTTTCTGTAAGTGGCTGACCCTTCTCAGATCATAATCTGTGGGGATGACTCAGTGAATAGTTCTGTTATCTAGTGGGGTCTTAATCTGGATCCGTGGTGGATATTTTAGCCAAGGAAGTCTTAGTCCTTTGTATGTCCATGCGTGCATGTTTGTAGACATTGGCCATGTGTGTGCAGATGGCTTAGGCAGCCTGAAGATGGTGATGGAGTTGGAGTTACAGGTGAGTGAACCCTCCTCCTGCATAGGTCTGGAAACCCAACTTCTATCCTGGAAGAGCAGCAAAATGCTCTTAACCACTGAACATCCGTCCCTCCAGCCCAGAGTCCCTGATAGAAGTAAGTAAATCTTTTTTTTTTTTCAGACCAGGCTGGCCTCGAACGCACAGAAATCTGCCTGCCTCTGCCTCCCGAGTGCTGGGATTAAAGGCGTGCGCCACCACCGCCCAGCGAAGTAAGTAAATCTTAACCAAAACTTATTTGCTTTCATGGCGAGGTGGTACTCCTGTGTTCTCCAATCAGCTGCTGCTGTGGAGTAGTATAGTTAAAATATGGGCCTGTGGCACATCCTTGTAATTGTGGCATGTTCAGGAGGTGAGAGAATTGTAAGTTCAAAACCAGCCTCGATTCCAAAGCATGAGCCTGTCTCAAGAACAGTACAGCAACAAAGAACCAAGTGAACCCATGTAACTTTCAGGTTCACCCTGCTTATTATGACACAGTAACGAGGGGAAGAGATTGCATGAAGCAGTTGAATGAGCAGGCGGGGTTCTGGGGAGTGCCTGTTGCGTTGAATCAGCCTAGTGCCTGTAAGCTGAGTATTCACAGAGTGGGATTGCCACTGCACAGACCTGAGTCGGGGTGACACTCAACACAGTAGCACCTCCATTCCTTTTGGGAAGTAAGCTCATTGATTGCTTATAGAACTAGTGTTCCCACCCCCCACTCTCCAGGAAGTTGTATTTTTGTAAGGAGGGTGAGGAAGGGTATAGGTGTGTGGTGTGTATGCTTCTGTGGAAGCCAGAAGATAGCCTGAGTGTTCTCAGAAGTCTTTTTTTGGGGGGCGGGGGGAGATGGTCTCACTATGTAGCCCTAGCTGTTCTGGAACGTGCTACATAGATTTAGTCACCTCTTTAACTCTGCCTATCACATGGTTGCAATCCTAGTACTCAGGAGACTGAGTGGATGGACATAGAGGCAGTGGACATGGAGGTGTACATTGAAGTCCCTAAGTGACGGCTGGGTCCATGACTAGAGTCAGTGGATTTAAGGTGTCTACCACTGTACCAGGCTCTACCTTGTTTTTTGAAATGAGGCTTCTCACTGGAACCTGTTGCTTTCATTGGGCCAGTGAGTTCAAGGGATCCATCTGCCTCACCAGTGCACGGATTCCAAGTCCCAGCTTCTGTGTTCTGCATCTTGAACTCAGGTCCTCATGTTTGCGTGTCAAGTACTTTACAGAATAAACAGTTTCTCCAACCTTGCTAATACGATGCCTTAATAGCCAAACATCGGCTGTCGCTCTCTCTGAGGTCCTTTGGCATTCTGTATTTGGTATGTTGGTGCTCTTAGTCCCCAGGAACAGTGTTTTGCGTTGAAAGCACTGCCTTGTTACCTTCCTGCTAGGTTGTGTGTATGCCACGTTGTGTATCAATGGCCTGTCGTTCTTTTCATTGATTCACTAGTAGGGCGAGGTTCCAGCATGTGGGATGACAAGAGTCCCCACCATTCTCCTGGACATGCTGAGTCCACAGCTTCCTGTGTCTTCTCCCCGAGCGTGCACCTGTGTCTCCAGTCCCATCTCTCTGTCATACCAGTTTTTGTCGAGACCCAGTTCACTGTTGAGAATCATAAGTGGACAGATTCACCCCTCTCCCTTTGATTTCATTTGTCCCTGTTTGCAGGCCTGTCCCATTCATCCCTATGAGCTGTGTCTTCCTAGAGGACTCGCCCGTGGTGCAGCCTGGAGTTGGAATTAGCTGCTTTACCACTGTGCTAAATTCTTAGGAACAGAGAACTGGTGTTTAATTCCTGTATTCTTGAAGTCCCTAAGTGGTAAATGAGTCAGTGACTAGAAGTCAGTCAATTTCAGATTGACATTTCCGTCCAAGGATATTCTTGGGAGACTGTGTATGGGGAGGGGGGTATGTGTGAGGAGGAAGCCCCTGGTCTAAGTATTCTTCCTGGATGTCCCTAGTTCATGTTAGGCGTTAATTCCTGCAGAACAACTGGCCCCTCACAAGCCTGCTACTCCTGCTCCACCCTGCTAGAAGGGCGTGGTCAGTTTCCCTTCTTCCTCCCTGCATCCAGTCTCCAGTTAAGTCCCACCATGCTACCTCAATAGACTTGACGCTGCACTCCTCCACATCCATGATTTCACTGGTCTTCACTGCATCGTTAGATTAATCTTTCTGAAACAGCCCTGGCTTTGTATCCCACACGTCTTCTCTCTCTCACCGGCCCCATAGACTGTAAGCCTTGGTGGCAGGATCTGTGAGTGAGTCACCTTTGTTACCCACTCCATGGCATCTACCAATAAATATTCTTGACTAAACAAATGAGCTCCCCCCCCCACCGCCTCAAACTCACAGAGATCCGCCTGCCTCTGCCTCCTGAGTGTTGGGATTAAAAGCGTGCGCCACCACTGCCCAGCTGAGTTCTTATTTCTCAGTATGAAGTCCTAGTGAAATGCTTCTCAGGTTATACACAGATTTTTTTCTGGGGGTAACTGTAGGATTTCAGAAGTTCTCACAAGATTGGTGTGAAGTTAACAATTAGGAGTTAACCACAGAAAATTTCAGAAAACTTTAATTTTTTCCATTAGAATTGGCATGGACATGTGTCTATGGATGGCTCAATAAATATACTTTTATATACAGCACAGAAAATTTTACATTCCATCTTTAAATTGCAGAAATAGATTTTTTTTACAAGCCAAAAAACCTTGAACCAAAACGAAACAAAATTAACAAAAACCCTGTCATAACTTTAATGACTTCATGCAAAAAAGGGAAGGGGCCAGAGGGAATCGCCCGTTCAAGGCTGAAAGTCCAATAAGAAGTAAAAATTGTACATTAAGGAAGCGGTTGCTCAGCACGCTGCTTAAGGTGGGAGCCAGACAGATCCTTAACTGCAGCTTTAAGGCCATACCTAGTTTATACATATGTACAAAGAAGTTTCCATAGAAAACACATGGTCACATTCTCTTCTGGCAAAGGATGAGGAACTTCCGTGAGTAATTCAGACCCAATTTTCCAGGTCAGTTAATCAGATGCCCGGGACTGCTACTCAGCAATCTGCTTTGGCTATGTGGCTTGTGGAAACCTCTCCCACTGTGGGTGATCAAGGACTCTAGAGCTCAGCCCACAGTGCCCAGCTAAGAATGACTCTTGCATCCTTTGGACTTAGACAACTACAGGCACCTTACCTCTAGTGGACCCCACATCCACCCTGGTACTGTGATAGGAAGGATGTCAAGATGCTCTTCTGTTCTAAGACTGAAATGCCTGGGGAGTCGGTCTTGACCTCCAAGGAGCATCCCCTGCCTGTTTTAAGGGGCTAACCTTTCTCCCTGTGCACTGGGCCACATTTCAGTTGGAAGCTAACTTTTCTGGGGAGGGGAAAAGGGGGAAAAAAGTCACCCAAGGAGTCATCCGGAGATCGTTCTATCTAAAAACCAAGCCAGGGAACTTTTACGACAGGTTAGTTCTGTGCAAATACTTAGCTGGATGAACTATCGATGACAAAGGGCAGTCCTTTGGAGGTTACTCCCAGGTCCACAGGAACTCATTTGCTTTGGCAAGATTTGGGAGAGACTGAAGTGGCACATTGCTCCCCTTGGCAGAAGCTAGCTCATCTCAAATTAGTGAATTTTATCTGAAATCCAGATGAGACTCAAGAACTTACCAAGCCTGAGATAAGGCAAACACAGCATTGGTCCAGTGGTGCAACCACCCAGGCATGTTGGAAGCCAGTCCAATCTGGTTTGGAAGCCCCATGACTCGTTTGAACAGTCATTTCATTTTTTTTTTTTTTTTTTTTTTTTTTTACTGCCACCCTTTGGGTAGAACTGTCAAGTTCTTGCGTGGATCCCAGCAGAGCTGTCACCAGGTTGATCCTGACGAAAACAAGAGGGCTTCAAAGTAGTTACGGTTTTGTCTTGACCACTTCGCTTTTGAGACAGGGTTCTGTTGTTTAGCTCTGGCAGGACTAGAACTCCGTATGTAGCTCAGGGTTAGATCTTTCTGTTTCTACCTCCGCGTGCTGGGAGTATAGTTATGCGCCGCCACAGCTGCTGTCTCGGCCACTCTGATTCACTTTATTTCAAGCCTATGGCAATGGAAGACATGTATTTTGTCCAGTTTTTCAAGTTTTTTTTTTCTTTTCTTTTTGAGGCTACTGAGGCCCCTGCTATATCTTGTAAGCAGAACTCTGGTTGCTTAAATGGGGGGAGGGAGGGAAGAGAACATGCCCCTTAGCCCTCTGTTATCAGGAGTATGCATGCCAGCATGCAGTAGGCATTGTATGTGTGTCCAGCATGAGAAAGAAGCAAGATGAGCCCCTTGGGAGTCTAGCTCATTCATCTCATTTGAACTTGTTAGTGGTGATATTATCATGGAATATCATATATATCACGGAAGATGGAATCATTATGACATGATATTGGATGGGTTTAAAATGTTGTGCAATTTATCTCATCCAACTTTTAGCTCCATTGATATTACTCTGGCTAAACCGGCGTGCTGAGAGCACAGTGCCTTTTCATGTGAGGTAGAAATGCATCTAACATGGAGAACGTTAACCTACCCAACTGCTTCTGTCATCCCCTGCCCCCCAAGCTAAGGCCTGGGGACAATATCTCCTGAGGGAGATACTCTGAACTGCTCCCTCGAAATACCCCTCCTCGATTGGTCATGGGAAGGAAGCAAATTCCCGAGGAAAAACCGTGTCACTTTGTGCATTTGCACCTGTGATGGCGTCGCAGCACCTGGTTCCTGTCTGTGTTTTCTCCTTCATACCATTTTTCTCCTCGTCTGATTTTGTGTCTGGAATAAATCTTCTCTAGGTTGGGAAGTGATTTCTTTAGATGCAGCTAAGAATGAGAACAACATGTTGGACTCTTTCCTCCAGGTCTGCCCTTTAGTTAGACCAACAACGAGATGATGTGTGGACCACAAACTCGGCTCTAGAAACACCTTCAGTATACTGCCAAGGATGTGGTTCGGCGGTCGAGCACTAGTCTTGCATGCCACAGGCTGTGGGTTCAATCCCGAGTCACAATGGGGCAGGGGGCACAGAACACAGGGCTTCACTGTCGGCAGCGTGCATGACGTATGGAAAAACCTTTTTCAGTCAGTGTTCATGGTGCGCTCCACACAGAATCATAGCTTTCAGGGCTGGGACTGGCTCAGTCAATAAAGTGCTTGTTGTACAAGCATAAGGACCTGAGTTTGGATCCCCAGAACCACATAGAAGCTGGGTACAGAACCTCTCATCTCTCTCTACACACACACACACAAACACACACACGCGCGCGCACACACACACACACATGCACTTCAAAATAAATAAAGAAGCCTGACTCCCAAGCTCCTGTCTAGCTCCGGGGCCTTTTTGGCCTAAACCCTTAGAATTTAATGAGATGAACTGATGACCTTTAGGATGTGGGCTCCCAGTGACTACTTTGCGTGCTTCCGAGATCAAGGCAAAGCAGGCTCATGTATCATGGAGCTGTTCAAGGAGAGACCTTGAACAGGGAAATGGACTGCCCGGGGTTTTGCGCACATCAAGTTGTCTACTGGACAGTTAGTCCAAGAACAAGGGGATCCAGAAACAAGCATCTATTTAGTGCTTAGGGTTCTTGTTTTGAGTTGAGGGGGGATTTGACTATATGTTTTCTCTTCTAATTTCATTTTCCCTTTCATTTCTAAACCTGGAATGAGAGAGAAGATCTACTGGACACCCCTTCTTTTCTGGAACATTGATCAGTATTCCTGTTTCAGTTGGCACTTATTTGAAGACTGCTTCTTTTCCCCCCAAACACTTGCTGGGAGAAGTAGCTGGGCAGCTACTAAATGGGGAGAGCCATTTAGCTGCTTAACGGGCAGATGAGACCACCAAATGGTAAATGGTTGCCATGGACATAGTCTCATGATTTGGGCTCAGAACCCTTGAGCACCCCAAGAGCGAGGTGCCTCTAGTCCCTGCACCCCCCCCCCCGAATTATTCACACTCACACCAGGGCTCACCCCGCTCAATTTCAAGACCAGCCCTTAGAGACGATGCTTATCTTTGGCTCCTGTGCCTTTCCTTCTTCTTCACCTTGAATGGATGGTAAAGGAATTCTAGGCTTCAGAAAGCTCTTATCCTAACTCTTCACTCCGGCCAAGTCTAAACCTTACTGACACAAGGGTTCCATCCTCTGCAGGACCACAAGTAAGGAACATGGTCCTATCCCCCAAACAGCAGATTCTCATCTGCTCTTAGGCTCACTCCTCTTTGTCTTCAAACTTTAGTAGCCACTCAGTGGCTTCACCTCAGTTAAGTCCCCTGTGTATCAAGCCTTAGTAATAGATTATTAACCTTGAAGATGGGTTAGTGGGTTTATGATGTTTGTGACTACATTTTGAGACAAAGAAGAGTGAACATTGGCTTTTTTGTTTGTCAAGACAGGGTTTCTCTGTGTAGCCCTAGGTGTCTTGGAACTCAACTGTAGACCAGAATGTCCTCAGATCCACAGAGATCCACCTGCCTCTGCCTCCTGAGTGCTGGGATTAAAGGCATATGCCACCACCGTGGAACATTGGCTTTTGATCAAGATCTTTGATCTCTAATCTAGTAAAAGATGATATCCACCAGCATTTGAGAGATAACTAGGATGTTAAACATTTATATACTGAGATATACTTAAACAAACATCCATACTTTTGATCTGTAGCTCTCAGATGCATTTTAGTGCAATAGCTCATCTATATTCTACTTTTAATAACAAAACATTGATCATTTAATTTCTTCAATGTTATGCTCATCAACAGTTTGGAAAGTTAAGGTTTCTTCAAGATCATGGAAAGTTAAATAATTTGTTGAAGGTTAAAAAACACGTACACGGAAGAGAGAAATGGACACCAGCCAGTCTCAAACCTCAGTTCCCCATCCTCTGTGGGACCAGGCCTGGATACCTTCTGTCGGGCTTTGTCTTGGGCTAGTTACCTTTGACTCTTACGACTCACCGTGTGCTGTGGGTGCTTCATCTTGACTGGGTGTTAAAGGTGCTCTAGGCTTTGGAGTCACACTGCTTAGGGAAACTATGGGTGGGTTGAGAGAGCTTCCAGAGGGTGAGCTCCCTTCCCTTCTTCTCTGTAAGTATCCCAGCCTCCTATACTAGACCCCTCCTTTGAAGGCTTCTCTCCCCGATAAAAACCTACACTGTTGTCCGTCACTCACCCTTTGTCTGTCTCCCCTTTTCGCCAGTCCACATACCAGGCAAGCGCTCTTCCAACGGAGAGTTCTTCATTTCTGTTTGTCCTCTCTGTTACTGGGATGTCAGAGTCCAGCAGACTAAACCCTTGCCAGGATGCATGTTTTCCTTGCACAGACAGAGTTCTCATGGTTGAGCCAGTAAAGCAAGGCACATTCTCTCCTCTCTTGTCATAGACTGTTGCTACTGTTTCTTAGAACTAGATAAAAAGAAAGTGGCTCTCACTTTAGACTGCTGAAGTAGAAAAACAGAATCCATATTCTATTTAAAGAATGTGCTTCCTGCTTGCTTGGGTGGAGGCATCTTTTTCCAGTTGATTCAATGGGTAGAAGTCATTCACCCACTCAGAGACTTATTGGCCACTTACCAATCCAAGAAACAGCCTGGGAAAATCCAGCCTCACCTGCCTGGGCAGAGTAAAGGGTGGGTGGAAAGTGCTGAAGCTGTTCCTGAAATAGATACTGATAGCTTCTAGCGTGGTGTTCATCATTCTGAACCGGGCTTCCAGTCTGACTGGGAAAAGGCTCTGACTCTCCGAGCCCTGAAGAGGATACACTCTTCTTGTCATCCTCTCCGAAGGATGCAGTTACTGCCGGGGATGTGACAACCCCCTTTGGCTTCAGCAGGTTGCAATCAAGTAAGACAGAAGACCATTATCAGTGGCAGTACCACCTTGACTGGAGAGCCAAGCTGCCCTGCAGTCTTACGTCATGGCGCCTCACAAGACATTACTTCTTTTTTTTTTTTTTGACATTACTTCTTTTTATGATGCTCGTAAAGATGCATGCACTGGAGGAAGTGAACCAGCCTTCTTGTTTGTCTCCCAAGTGTGAAAAAAAAGGGCTATGGAAAATATTGGTACACTTCTGAAAGGAATTACTTTCCTATTTATTGATAGTTTAGAAGAGAAAATAATTAGGGTGATACTTCCTTTTTTCTTCTGGAGTTAATAGAAAAATAGATCTCTTTGTCTGTCTGTCTGTCTGTCTGTCTGTCTGTGTCTCCTCTCTCTCTCTCATACACACACAAACACACACCCCCCCCACACACACTCACATTTTCCATTATTGCCTTTGCCAAGAAGGGTCTTGCAGGTGCTAGGAAATTCCAGAAGAGGGCGGAGTGGAGCCGTTTATTTCGCAAAACAGTGGGCTCCCTGAAGCTAGCAGGGTGAGAGGCAGTTGGTGTCCCCACCTGGCTCCTATAATAAACTGCAGCTCTGGAGGTGAGTTGAAGTCATCTACTCCTGTGTGCCCCTTTCCAAGGCTCACACTATGCACGAGCAGCGTCAGTCTGTACTGAAGAAGAGCTTCAAAACCAGTGCGCCATTCTCTGCATGGACATCAGATTTCCATATACGGGACCATCCGTCTTTCACCAGTAATCTCGGGGCATAAGGCCCTTTGTGCTCAACCTGAAGGGGAACTAGGAAAGCCTTGCCCTGTATATTGGGATCACCTGAAAGCTTTGGCCTAACTTATCTAGTTCAAATCCCTTTCTTTTTTTCCTTCCCTCCTTCCTTCCCTTCTCTCTTTCTTCCTCTCTTTTTTGGGTTTTGATTAAAAGAGGAAAAACAAATTTGCAGATTTCCTGACAAAGAGAAGCAACAGGAATTGTGCTGGTCAGTGCACCTGTACATAAAACCTACACGCTTGCACCGAGCCCTGAGAAATCAAAACGATGGTAGGCTTTAGGCTGGGCGAAGATTCTCAGTGTAAGCAGAGAATCACAGCAGGTAGAGCCAGGGAGAGTTCAGATGCTATCCCGCTCTCCCCACAGCGCATTTGGAGAGAGCAAAGCTTGCAATGTACCCAAGAACACTCTGTGTATTAACTGTGGGCTTGACTCAAGCTGTCTCTTTGCTTATAGTCTGAAAGGCTTCAGTGACATTCTCCAGTATGTCTCAAAGATGTGAGCCCATTGCTTGCTGGATTTGGCACACAGGTCAGGCAGCTCACAATGGACCATTCCAAAATGATGACACGGGGACCCAGGAGCCCAGTTGAGACTGGGCAAATGGTTCATTGGTTTTTCTATCTCAGGGTGACTTCAGATGCTTGCCATGGAGACCGTTTTGGAAGGTGCTGGGTGCTTTTGTGTGAGAGACATGACTCAGCATAGATTCCGATGCTCCCCGTGGTCGCCCTATTCACCTAGACTGGAGTCACTCTGAGCACAGTAAGGAGAGGGCTCCCTTGATTATTTTCCATCACAGATGTTCATTACCTAAATGAAGGGAATGAAGTGCCTCTGGCAAGGGCTAATTGCAGCCTCTCCTAAGATGCGCAGCCTTGGAGTGACAAGATTCCTCTTCTTATACCATGGAAGATGCTCAGAGCACCACACACTGACATCTTCATCCTGAACTCTTCAAGGCCATCTTCACGTTTCCTGCTTTGAACATTTTTAGGGTGGGAAAAGACAGACCTCAGATGAGAGTCACCCACTCACGGGACTCCTACTGCTCAAGATTTCCCATAAGCAAAGGTCCTGTGTCCCCCTCACCCAGAGTCGAAATGTGGATTGTCCTTTTGGATCGTACAGTTGAAGAGGAGAGGAGGTTCAGGCCGGTTGACCTTAGACCTGGCGGGACACCAGCAGGGCAGTCTCATCCTCTTGGCTGCGTCGGGCATCTTCTTTACTCAGAGCTATTGGTCTTTGTCTTGGCTTCATCTGTTTTAGACCCATCTTGGTATTAGCTTCGATGCCACAAGGAAAGGAGGAAAACTCACCAGGAAAAGTGCATGGTAGGGGACAGGTGGACACCATCTCTTCATTCCACTCCTCCGTCCTGCCCCTGAGCTCCCTAGCTTGAGGGATATGAGCAAAGTGCCTGACTGATTGTCAGAGATCAATCTCTATCCTGCCTGTAACTCTGACCCAAGGCCAAGCCAGTAAAGTGCAAGGACAGAAGTGCCACTCCTGGGTCCTAGCCATGGAGCGCGGGGCTGGGACAGGCTTCGTGCCATGGGGACAGTGGTTCTGTGCATAGTCACATCTGCAACAGGACTCCCTCTTCCAGTTCAGTTCATCGCAGTCCCTGTCACTTTCCCTAGAGTGCCCTGGCTAGGCTGGGACCGTTCTGGCACTTCAGAGTTAGAAGGAAAGAGAAATATCTGTCTAACTTTCCTACATGTTAAAGCTGTGCAAAGCATCTTTTAAAAAAAAAGACTTATAAAAATATAATGGGGTCATTCCCCCAAACTTCCCATGTTATGATCTATGAAATGTCAAAATATAATGAATGGACTTTCTAAATATCACAGTCTCTTCCCACCCACACACAGAATGGGCAGCAGCAGCATCGGCGACCTCCCTTCTACCTCTTCAAACTTGATTCCCACCTGGCATTTGGGACCTGTTTCAGCCAGGTCCACATTCCCATAACATACCTGCTTGCAGTTCCAAAGGGACTCTCCAAAAAAATAGACATTTGGAAAAAAGTTCATGGGTTTACACTCAGTCTCTCCCCATATTATTTCTTGAGATTATTACTTTTTTTCAACAATAAAAAAGATTGCATATTGGTAATACAACGAGAAGACCATGGCGGCCATTGGGCTGGCGCTGAGTTGGGCTGGCATTGAAGCGCGGAAGCAAGAGGAGCAAGCTTGGCGCCCTGTGGGGGGTTCCTGGATTCCCCATCCTCAGGCTTCCACAATGGTCCTTCTCCTCAGTCACTTCCTGCTGTTGGTCTACCTTTATCCATCTCCATGACCCACGCCGCTGTCACGTGACCCTCTTGAAGCAGAGGTGGAATGGCTTTTTGGCATGTGTCAACAGGGGTCAGCTTGAAGATCGATATGGCATTTGTAAGGGCGTGATGTGGGCACATACCACAGCAAGCTTGCTAGTGACCATATCTACTCTGGGAGAAGTTGTCCATCACTTTGAGGACTTTAAAAGTTTAAGCAGTTACTAGGCTGATTTAAAAGATGCATCTTTTGTTCTCATGGGTTTTGCATTAATGTTAAGCATGGTTATATGTCATATATTACACTGTTTTCCTGCTCTGGGGCAGGCAGCACTGACCTCCAAACAGGATACCCCCCCCGGACTTGAATTTTGAAAGCTGTGATTCCCCAATCCCCCTCCCTGACCCCCACCCTAACCCTCATGGTCCTCAGTTGCTGTATTTGAAAAGGCTTCCCCACCACCTCATGCCCTTGGAGGCTAGATGAATATTGCCATACCCTGGAAGTATCCACCCTTGTGGTTTCTATTGCACTTGGAGGGAGATGGGTGTGCGCTCTCCCTCTCTCCCTCCTCCCCTGGCTCCCAGCCTCTGTGCTCCTCCCACCACCCTCTCCCAACCCTCCCTCCCTCCACAGCCATCACTTGTTGTGGACATCCTCTCTTCGAACAATCTTGTAGATGATCCAGTAGAACATGTTGAAGATTAGGAAGGCCATGGGGAAACCGATGCGCGATATCTTGTCGATCTTCTTGGCTCTTTGAATGAAGAGTTTCCGCATCTCCTCCGGGGACTTGGACGGTGCAGGAGGGGGGTTGGTGGTGTTGTTGTTGTTGGCACCCTTGACAGAGATGCCATCCTTGGCCTGCAGACAGGCTGGGCCCATCCCATAGGCGGAGAAGTTGAAGCGGCCTTCTCCACCCTCATCATCCTGAAACAGATTCAGCATGGGGCTCTACTTAAAATAAGACAAGGGCTGGGCACCCTCCCTGCAAGGCACTCCCCTTGGGGACCAGGCCATGCCATCTGATCCTCCCTGTCTCTCAGGCTTTGTGTCCCCAGTTGCTGGAGGCAGTCTGGCTGGCTGGGGAGTTCGGCCTTATAGAGGGGCGCCACTCACCTGCGGAAACAGATGCAAGCCAGGGGATGGGAATGGGTACAGATTCTGAGGTCTGAGTTCCGCGCCAGGTTGTGGGTCTTTGTCATTTACTGACTTGTGACCTCAGTCCGCTAACTTCCTTCCCTTGCCTGAGAATTATTTTAAGGTTTCTTCTCAAGACTTTTTCATCTTTGGAGGCTTCACTGAGTAGCTGACTCCAGGCTGGCCTGGGGTTTGATGAGGGTTTCCAAGGATAGTTTGGAGACATCCCCTGCTTTGCCTCTGTTCTGTTGCCCTCTCCCGTATTCCCCACCCTGTGATGGCCTGGGAAGGAGCAGAAAGCTCCTGGCTTTCCCATGTTACAAGCCAGGGAAGCCATGGCTTCTTCCTGCCTCATGTTTCCACACCATCACCTTCAAGAGTCTTCTGATTCCCAGAAGCTTGTCAAAGGCTCTTTGTCATTTGGCCCCAACTTACCTTTCCAGTCCCACCCCACTTCCCATGTGATCTGCACCCCTGCTGGCTTTGTTGACCTTCTCTTTCTTTGTAAAATGCTTGATCCCAGATCCTAGTGGTTCATCCCTTTCCCCAGGTCAGCTCCATTTTGCCCTGGCCAGTCCCCTACACTTGCAGCTCCACAACAGGACCAGAAGGCCAAGGAGTTTGTTTTCTGTGTATATGTGCACTCATAAGTGTGTGGTACATGTGTGCATGCATGGGTACATGTGAAGGCCAGAGGTTGACGTCAGGAATCTTTCTAGATCCTTGTCCTTACTTGTTGAGACAAGGTCTCTCAGTTGAACCCAGAGCTCACCAGTTCAGCTTGTCTGGCTGGCCAGCTTGCTCCGGGGATCTCCTGTGTCTGCCTCCCTGGAGCTGAGCTCACAGGCAGGTTACCCCCATCTGCCTGCCTCCCTGGAGCTGAGCTCACAGGCCAGTTACCCCCATCTGCCTGCCTCCCTGGAGCTGAGATCACAGGCAGGTTACCCCACCTGCCTGCCTCCCTGGAGCTGAGATCACAGGCAGGTTACCCCACCTGCCTGCCTCCCTGGAGCTGAGATCACAGGCAGGTTACCCCCATCTGCCTGCCTCCCTGGAGCTGAGCTCACAGGCAGGTTACCCCACCTGCCAGGCACTTCTGGTTCTCATGCTTAAGCCAGAAGCACTTTAGTGTCTGAACTGTCTACCCAGGCCAAGGCCAGTGTTTTGGCTGCAAGCTGGCTGCCAACTCAGTGTGTGGTGCTGGCAAGATTCACCAGCTCCTATCGCCCTCCTGGACACCAAGAGCTCCCAGGAGAGGAATTCTGTCTTGCTTGTTCCCCGAAAGACAATGCAGATGAGAGTAAGAAATGCAATCCAGGATCCAATACTCCGATCTCCCCGTGCCTCTGCCACCCTAGGACTTTCCATCATCTCCGTCTCCCTGCCTCAGTATGTCAAATGCTGGGACTGTGGGCGTGTGCGACTATGCTGTGTTCTGCTAAGGACTTTCTAGCAGGCTGACACTGACCTCAGGATAGTTAAATTCTCCCAGTGCTAACGAAGGCCTCAGATTCCCTGGAGTGTGTCCACCTGCTCCATCTCCCTGCATGCCATTCTCTGTGTGACATTATTCTTCAGTCACCAGGAAGCATTTCCTCACATTTGAGGATGTTGAGCTTTTCCTCTTTGGTCCAGTTCAAGTTATTCTCTCTGCTATGCTTCTGCCTCCCAAATGGGAGCCCTGGCCTCCCCTCTTAGCTGCCCCTTGAGCTCCCAAAGACAGGCTAGCTGTCATGCAGAGTGCCCTGAATGCCACTGATCCCACTGAAATCTGACATTGCCTCTCCCATTGAGAATAGTAGTTCTCAACCAGTGGGTGGCGGCCCCTTTTGGGGTTGGGGGACAAACTGCCTTTTCATAGGGGTTGCCTAAGATTATCAGAAAACACAGATATTAACACGATAATTCATAGCAGTAGGAAAATTACAGTTTTGAAGTAGCAATGAAAATAGTTTTATGGTTGGGGGTCCCCACAACGCGAGGAACTGCAGAGGGCTGCGGTGTTAGGGAGGTTGAGAAGCACCGTGTTAGTGAGTAAGCTTGTGAGGGCTGCCATGGTGCAGCCTGTCCTCCCAGCATCTGGAAGTAGAAGCCAGAGGATCAAGAGTTCTAGACCAGCTGAGTCACACAGATGGAGGTCAGCTTGAAGTATGTGAGGCCCCGTCCCTCAAACCAGGAACAGCCAGCTCACAAAACCCAACAGGAAACAAACACCGAGCACACGGACATGTTCTTTTAGTGCGGAAGCACAAACCCTAGCAAGATTATTACTTCAATAAATGAAATCTTCATCAGCCCCCAGCCTCTTCAATTTTTTTCTTAGACTTATTTATTTTATGTGCATGGATGTTTTTCCTGCATGTATGTTTGCGTTCTAAGTGCACACAGTGCCTTCAGAGGCCAGAAGAGAGTGCTGGGTATCCTGGACCTGGAGCTGCAGGCAGTGTGGGCTACCATTGTGTGTGCTGAGAATCAGACCTGGGTCCTCTACAAGAACAGCAAGTGTTCCTAATGTTTGAGCCAGCTCTCCAGCCTACCCAGCCTCCTTTTAAATATTTTCTTCTTTTCACTCTTTTGGTTTATCCAAGGGGGTTCTGCATCCTGCGTCAGACACATGACTAATGCCCAGGAAACGATCAGTGAGCCCATCTGGCTCAGCATTCACTGTGGAGGGCAGAGAATGTGGGGCAGAGCACGAGGGAGGGAAGACAGGTGCAGAGCAAACACTGGAAGGCTGTGGAGGCCTCACACCAAGGCCAAGAAGAGGAGTGGGGGAAGCCAGCAGCCAGCACATTCCTAGACCCAGGACCTGGCAAGCGACCTGGGACTTTATAATATCCAAACGTGAACTTGCCCTTACTGTTAGGAGGCAGAGAATAGAAACGGTTGTCCCCCCTCCCTTTTTTATGGCGGTTGTCACCACACAACACAACACAGTACCAGTGCAGACACCCAGTGTGGTACTGTATGACCCAGCATGGTAATAGATGACCCAGAAATGTAAATGGTCTCCACACATCTGCCGCTCTAACTCAGAGCTAAGGCCTGTAACACCGAGCAACACTGAATGCTCTAGAAGAGGTCAGACTGGAGAGGTGGCTCAGGACTTAAGAACACGGACTGTTCTTGCAGAGGACCTGGGTTTGGTTCCCAGCACCCGCATAGTGGCTCACAACTGTCTCTAATTCCAGTTCTAGAGGATTCAGTGCCCTTTTATTTTGTCTCCTCTGGTACCAGGAGCATACATACACACAGGCAAAATACTCATAGACATAAAATAAAAATAAAAAAAATTAAAAGATTTAAAAATGAACAAAACAGGTGTGGGCTGATAAGAAGGCTAAGTGGGTAAAAATGTTTGCTGCTAAGCCTGAAAACCTGAGTTCAATCCCCAGGACCCATACAATAGGAGAGCATGGGTTATTTTTTAAAATAATATATATGCATAGATTAAATAATATATATGCATATATATTATTTAACTTTATTTTATGTGTATTGGTGTGAATATATCAGTATATTAAATCCCCTGGGACTGGAGTTACAGTTGTGAATTGTCACATGGGTGCTGGGAATTGAACCCAGGCCCTCTGGAAAAAAAGCCAGTGCTTTTTAACTGCTGAGCCATCTTTCCAGCCCAAGAATGTATTCTTACAAGTTATTTTCTGATCTCCATAATTCTGCACATGCAGACATACATGGATATTTGTGAGTGTACACACACACACACACACACACACACACACGCTCAAGGCCAGCCCGGGCTACATGAGCTGTCTCAAAAGACAAATAAGAGGAAAACCTTGGAATGACACTGCAGGAAATGTACACAATGAACCAACCATCTCTAGACAAACAGGAGCCCCTCCACCACATGAATCCCACTGCATATAATGGGCTCTATTGGGATGGGAAACACCACAGTAGCTTTCCTAGACACTTTTGGAGAGTTATGTTCCACCTTCCTATCTGTTACACATTGGTAGGGAAAGAGGTTTGGCCCCTTCTAGCTAGACAGTGGCCCCTTGTATGCTGGAGAAAAGAAATACCTGAGGAATGACTGGAAAAGGCTTGCTATTCTGACTACAACCAGCAGGTGACAGCACAAGCACGGTCATCTTCCTGGAGACACTTGGGGATGGAGCAAGAAACAGACTATGAATCATAGACTATGGAACCCACAGGAGGGATCCAGAGCT